ATCCCTCACTGGGTGTGTGATGAAGGGTTAAGTAAAAATTGTGAAGTTTGTTTGAAATTAGTAATTAAATGTCTGACTTAAGTAGGCTGGTTCCACTCAAAATTAATAAATTCCTTTTTTTGATTAAGTAATTTATATTGGATAACAAGAAAAAAAATTCTTATTTTATCCATTTATGATCTTAATAATACTTATTAATCATTATCAGAAAAGATATATAAAAAAATGAATAAATTTTCCGTTTTATTTCATATCTGTCTGACTGGGTATAAGAACATTTCTACTGAATAGAAAATTCATACTTTTTTTAATGACATTAATACTCAAAGATGATATTTTCCCTTAAAACGCATGAGAAATAATTATATATGTAAATAATTACATTGAAAAAATAACGGTCTGACTAGTAATTTATTTATTTATTTATTTTCCATTATAAACGGGACATGCCCTTTCGTACAAAAGTACTTAAAAGAATAAAATTACAATAGTAATTACAAAAGTTTTTTATAACTAACTTCTAGGCTGGCTCAACATTATCGAAACTTAAGACTATTCTACGCAATGCTAAGGTGAACCTTTGTAAACTATTATCAAAAAAATTAATTCGATCTGAGATTGTATTAGCTTCTCTACTAATCCTAAAAATAAGTTTATTATTTCTATAATTCGTTCTATGAAAGTTTACTCGGAAAGGTACAAAATTTTTAGTGATTCTAGGGGGAACAGCTAAATTAATCATTGATAAAAAAGCAGGACATAGAATAAACCCATTCAAAATTTTATACAAAAACAATAAATTATTATAAAGAAATCTTGACAAAACCAAAGGAATATTTAGTGCATTACGCAGATCATTATAATCATGGGCATGACTGTCAAATGGTAAATTAAGTTGCCTTGCAGCAAACCTCAAAAATCGATTTTGAACTCGTTCAATTCTAACAATGTTAAACACATACATTGGTGACCAAATAACGGAAACGTACTCAAGAATCGTTCTGACAAGCGTAAAGTACATTATGAAAAACTGATGATGTTCTCATTACAAATCCTAAAGATTTTAGGGCTCTCGAAACCACTCCATATATATAATCATTAAAAGAAAAGTCATTATTAAATAATAATCCCAAATCTGATATTTTAGTAATGAAGATTTCTACTTAAAACAGCATTTAATTACATTATAATTAAAATTGGTCGTCTGACTAAACAAGTATGTTTCTACTTAAAACAAAATTTTAAACTGTCTAAGTCTTCGATACTTAATTGTCTGACTAAGCGTGACTTGCTCTACTGACATCGAAATTCAAAATTCTATTTTACTGTAATAATTAAATAATTTACTGACTGTCTAAAAGAAGCTATTTTTATTTTAAATATGAATTCAAAATTAGCTTTCTCTTCGATATTTGTTTCTCTGGGAAAAAATTCTTTAGCTGGAACTACTACAAATTTCACGATATAAAGAAAATTTTTAGTTGTTTCAATTAATTTCGCTATTCTAAAAAAACTTATGGCTGTTTCAGGTAAAGGTTCCTACTAAAACAATTCTTTTTTCATTCCTAAAGCGTTTGTCTTACTACACACGCCTGTTTCCACTCAAAACAAAAATAAAATTACTGTTTTATAACGACAATTAACTATCTGACTAGAGAAGACTGTTTCTACTGAAAAATTAGGAAAGTTAGCCAAAATAAATAAGAATAAATTTCCCATAATTTCCTTTTTTTCTTTTGCTTTTTTTCCCTTCGGATTTTTTTTTTAGGAAATATTAATTATTTCAGGAAAATCCATTTAAGGAACATGTTTCGAAGGCTTTGACATTGAAAGAAGGTTGTATGGCAAGGCCACAACTACGAAGAGAAACAAGAATGTAGATTGTATTAAGGATACATCAAGTTACGCCATTGTCAAGGTTGTTTTCCAATTGCCGTAGTGCGGCTCCATTCTGTCCAACGTTTATTGAATTTAACCTTATTTAACTTTTGATCTTTTCGGACTTTTGCGCGCCAATATATTTTGCAGAGACACTCGCTTTATATAGATGTATGCACATGTGAAAACATATATATGTATAGTAGAAAAGAAACATGGTTTATGGTGAAGATGCAGGGAATCGAGGATGCTCAATCGGCCCAGTGGCACACAAAGAGTCAGTCGCGCAGTAATCTCGCGCGGCAGCTCATTGAAAAGGCCTTTTTTAGTCCTCATTTTCCACTTTCATGCTGTGCAGTTGACTTTATATGAAGATCGTGGGAGGCGAAAATGTAACCGAGAAAACAAACTTCATGAAATCATGAATGGCAGGAGAAGCTTCTTCTTCATTTTCTTCTTCTCTTACTTTTTCTTCTTCGTTTTTTCTTTTCTTACTTTTTCATCTCCTTTTTATTTTATTTTTTTCCTTCTTCTTGCCTTATTTATTTTCAATCTTTTCTTTCTCTTTTCCTTCTTCACCATTTTCTTCTTCAATTACCTCTTTCATCTTCTTAATATTCCTCTTTTTCCTTCTTCTCTTTCTTCTTTTTTCCTCACACTTTCCTCTCTTCTTCTCTTTATTTTTCTTCTTCCTCATTTTTTCATTCATTTCCCTCTTTTTCCTTCTTCTTCTTATTTTTTTCTTCCACTTTTCTCCCTTTTTTCCTGCCTTTTCCTTCTCGATTTTTTCTTTTTCCCCTTTTTCTCTTCTTCATTCTCTCTTCTTTTCTTTATTTTTCTGCTTCTTTTTTCCTTCTTCCCCCTTTACGCTCCTTCTGCGTTTTTTCTTCTCCTTCTTTTTTTTCTTTCGACTTTTCTCCTTCTTTCTTCACTTTTTCTCTTTCTTTGTTTTCTTCTTAATTTTCCTTTCCTCACACTTTTTTCTCTTCTTTTCTTTATTTTTCTTCTCCTTTTTTCCTTCCACTCCCTTATCTCTATTTTTTCTTTTCCATTTCTCTCTTCTTTCCCCTTCTCCTTTTTCTTCTTTTCTATATTTCTCCACCTTTTCTTTCTTTCACCTTTTCTCTCTTTCTTTGTTTTCTCCATCCTTTCACTCTTTTTTTTCTTCAACTTCCTTTTTCTCTTTCTTTTTCTTCTTCTGCTTATTCTTGTTTTATTTTTCTCCTTTTTTCGTCTGTTTTTAATGAAGAAGATTTGCAAAAAAGAGAGAGCGCACGTGTGCTCCCATAACCACGTGCTGCAAATGTTTACAATCAAGTTTCTTTTTTGTTTTGCTCATTAATCGCATTGCTTGCGTTCTCTAGCGCGCAATCGTGACTGCTTCGTTAGTCTGATTATTCATTAGGCTCTACACGAGATCATATGTACACCAGGCGGTATCGCACATTCGCGATAGTAAATTGAGATTTATCTGCTATTTAACATTTCTTTTTGTGAATATAATTTACAACTTTGGTCACGTGATTTTTATACACTTTTGTTTTTTTTCTCCTTCGGACGCTTTCAGAGACTCTCTAAACATTTATTTCATGGATTTCATTAATGAGGTTGCTTCTGCTTTCTTTATTGATTGAAATAAACAAAGTTGTCACTACTTTAGCAAACGTTTCTGGGATAAACGTTTGCTATGGTACTCATTACTGCGATACTATAACTGCAATTACAATGGTGGTAAACCAAAAATAAAATTTTTAATAAAAATAAACCTTTATAAATGTAACAAAAATATAAAAATCAGGAAACAAAAATCATTGACAAAATACTAATGACTATAATTCATGTTACAATAAGTACTAAATACCATAATATGTACTAAATACTACCATCAGTACTAATATACTCTCTAAATCTGAATATGTGAAAATTCACATATTTGTACGTTATAAGTCGTCTTCTCGATCAATAAGTGCATATACACTTATAATAAGTGAAATTTCACTCAGAATAAGTGAAAAATTCACTTATTTATAAGTGTATATGCACTTATTGATCGAGAGGACGACTTATAACGTACAATAAGTGAAATTTCACATATTCAGATTTAGAGAGTAATTACTAAACATTATAATATGTACGAAGATTATTACACTATAACAATCACTAAATATTACAGTAAATACCATAATATGTACTACATACTACAATAAATAACAAAGTCATCACTAAATACTTTAAAATATACCAAAATATTGCAATAGGTGAGGGTGGGGCAAGTATAGTTAGGTAAGACCTTTTCGGATCAAAAACGAAAAGTTTTTTTGGAAAGCCTGGTTATTTGGCTATAATTTTGCTATACATTATTTTGATGTAGACTGCGATGGTCTACGACCAATTTCCATGAATCAAGTGATTTGACAGGTTAAAAAATTAGTTCGTTAACCTTTTTTCATAAAAACACAATAATTTACTAAATTATGACAATAAAACTGACAATAAAATTGACAATAAAAAAATTTGCAGGCATCGCAATTATTTTAGTAAGTACTAAAATAAATACTAAAAATTAAAATAAATACTAAAAACTAAAATAGTTCATGAAACAATTATTACAGTAAATAACTAACTAATACTTAGTTAATTAAAGTATAATAACTATATCTAAAACTAACTAACTAAGTAGGTACTATATAGTAAATTTCAAAATAAATTTCTAGTACTATAGTAAATTCTAAACTTAATAGTCCTGGAACTTGAATAATTACAAAAATAATGACTAAATACTACAATATTTACCAAAATAAATACCAAATACTGTAATAAATAAATACTGGAAACACTCAGCAACTCCCCTCAAAGAAAATTTACAATTGCATCCAAAACAGTTACAAATAACAGTTTCGTTTCTACGTTTCTATGAAAAATTAATGAAACTCCCACGCAATGGTCAAGTAAGTCATACATTATATGTAAGCGAAGATTATACCACAATTGTCTATTGTATGTATCTATATATATGTATACACAATATAAAATGAAATGCAAGCATAGGGGAATTCACGCTCTGTATGTCGTAATATTACATCTTCGTGTTCGACTAATTACTAAGTGCTTTATAAAAATTGCTTTTGCCAGTTACTTTGCAGTCAGTGTCGAAGATGCATCGGCAGATGATCGCTTTTTCCCTATTGAGTTTTGGTGGTTTCGCCGCTATTAATGCCGAGCCATTAAATCGAAATTTACGTTACAATTATCAATTGTCACTTACCGATTGTGTCAATAGTAATTCATCTCAATGTGGTGCTACAAATAGTAAAATAAATTCTAACTCAACCGCGAATAAAGATGATGATAATAATAATAATAGTGCGGTTGTCAAGAATGATAAAGAGCAAGTATTATCGAATGGAGAAAATATTTTTATTGAAGAAGGTAGGAGGATATATTAGAAGAGTGGAATTTGTGTCTATTGTACTGTTTTGTTTTGCATATATTCCTTTTTTGTTTTTAGTAGATAACATTTATAAGCAATTTTGCGAATGAATTGCTGTGGTTTCTTTTAAGAAAGTAAAAAAGAGGGGAGGTTCATTCTAATGCTGATAAATTCAATTTAATGCACTTTAATGTGAAAACTAGTGATATCTTTTTTATAAAGGCTGTAAAGTGAGATTTTCTACTAGAAATAAAGAATCTTTTTTCTTTAAAATATTCAAATTATTCAATGGATATTTCGAGGAAAAGTATATTGAACATAATAATGTTTAATCGAGCTTGTAAATTCTAAAAAAAACAGTGGAAGAATATTAGAAAGTGTAAATTATAAATGGATTTTGTCGTTAAAATGTGAGAAAAATTTATATTGAATTTTTTTTCTGCTTATTTTTTTTCCAAAATTATGAATTTTATTTACTATTCCTCTTGTATTGTTTTTCACTCCCTTGTAAAACTTTTTGAAAAAACTAAATTTTTCTATAACAATCTCTTTACTCTCTGTTTAATGAAAAAGAATTAAAAAATTTTTTTAGACAATATTTTTTTACGGTTAAAATTTAATTTACTATTTTTAAGTAAAATAGTAAATAGTTTTGATTATTTTAAGTAGAAAAAGTACATGTCAATCAGCCAAGAAATAATTAGAGGACATTTTTGTACCTGTAAAAGAATAGGAATATATTACAATTTTTTCCATTTGTAATAATAGAAGAGTTAAAATTCAAATGAAATTGCTAAGAAAAATTTTAGAAAAAATTGGATTGTTTTTTCAACTTTAAATTAAAAATTTGAAATTGGAATTTACAGATACAAACGATTGTCTGACTAAACGAGACTATTTCTACTTGCAGCAAAAGTAATAATTGTAATCTATTTATAAAATAGCCTATTTCCACTTTAAATTAAAATGATGTTTTATTTTAAAAATTAGGCATAAGATTCAAAATTTACATAAAGAAATAAAGGTCTAACTGTTAAAAAATATTTCTACTTAAAACGGCATTTTAAATTTGAGTTTCTTTTATAATTGACTGTCTGGCTAAACAAGTATGTTTCTACTTAAAACAAAGTTTAAAATAGTCTCCCGCATATATTTCATTATCTAGACAGAATGTCTGACTAAACATAGCTATTTCTACTTACAGAAAAATTAAAAATTTTATTTTTCTTCAATAATTTACTGACTGTCTAAAGGAGGTTATAGTTCTCCTTACAGCAAAACTTAAAATTTCATTTCAACTTGAAACAGCATTATTAATTTTCCTTCTCTTCAATAATTGATTGTCTGGATTAAAGAAACTTTTTCTACTTAAAAAATAATAAAAAACAGTTTTCCTCCTTATTTTTGGATTGTCTGACTCAACGAGTTTAGTTCTACTTAAAAGAAAATTCATTTATATTAAAAAAGAAAATCAAAATTATATCCGACTTTCATAATTTACTGCGTCTGACTAAACAATGGGTATTTCCCCTTAAAGCAAAATTGTAAACTTTGTTTGAAATTAACAATTAATTATCTGACCTAAGTAGGCTCTTTCCACTCCAAATTTATTTTTATATTTTGTTAAAAAAAAGAGAAAAAAATTCTTATATTTTATTCATTTATATTAATTTAATGTTTGTTAATCATTATCAGAAAAGATATATAAAAGTGTAAAAATTAGACGCTTTATTTTCTTCAACGATTATCTGATTATTTGATTATTTTCTTACTGAATACGAACATTTCTACTGTAAAGAAAATTCAAAGATTTTTTATATTTTACTGACATTTAACACTCACAGATCATAAATTTAAAATTTACTATAGTGACTACTTTTTCTAATTAAACATTAAATTAATAGTAATTTGCTAATAATAAACTTTTGTTTATGAATTAATCGTCTCACTTTCCTTGAATTAAAAAATTAAAAAATTAAAAATAATGCTTAAACCAATTTTTTTAAAAAAGAGATTGTCAAGCAAAATTATAAATTTTCTAAATCTACTTTTCCAATGCACTTATTTGTTACGCAAGATATCTTAATTACAAATGAAAGATTTTATAAAATGCGCAATTACCTGTCAGTGAACACATGTAATTTCTCGCTACTCCACTTACAGATATCAAAACTAAATTAGCTGCAATTAAAGTGTAATTCATCTAATTAGAGATGATTTATTGTTTTATATCAACGTTTTTAATAAGCTTCCTTAACAGACAATGGTTTTTATACTTAATGGATTTATTAATAACGCTCAATACATGATATACATTAAAAAATGATACTAGTTTTTTATAATTGCTTTTAATCACCATCTCTAAATAGACATTTAATAATTATTTATTTATTGCTTTACAAAAGCCAATTACCATATTTGTATTTAATTTTCTAACACCTTGATTTTACACTAACCAAATTATTGTCAATTATTTGTCAATTCTTCATTTATTAGTTATGAATCCCTTGTAAATTAATAAGAAATTAATTATTGATTACTATTAAATTGTTAATGAATTAGTTAAAAAATACTAGTAAATTTCTAATTAATTAATAATTAATTACAAATTATTACTAATTATTAATTGCAAATTAATTTGTTTTTAATTACTAGTAAATTTCTAATTAATTAGTTAATGATTAGTAGGATATTGCAAATTAATTTGTTATTAATTACTATTAAATTTCTAAATAATTAGTTATTTACTACTAGTAAAATGATTTAAAATTAGTTATTTATTACAAGTAAATTGCTTATTATTTAGTTATTAACTACTAGTAAACTGATAATTATAGTTATTAATTAGGGGAGACCGAGGAGGAAAGTAACAAAAATCAGTTTTTTCATTGTAGCGTTCAAACTATTTAACAAATAATTTTTGTTGACACCTTAATTGAAAGCTTGGACTTTCACCTGTTAAATAAAATTTGAATTAGACATTTAGATTAAGTAACCAGTTCACAGTATGACTTTTTCACTACCTCTGCATTTGTTACTTTCCTCCTAACCCCCGAGGAGGAAAGTAACGTTTTAGAATTATGGTTTGTTTTGGGAAAATGAAAAAAGAAATAGGATTTCTTTTTAGAGGGTTTGTTAAATACATATTGAAATATAAAAAAAATTTTATAACAAAATGGCGGCGATAAATTTCATAGTCAAAATCGACTATTTTCTTATGACCAAAATGCGAGCCAAAATGTCAGCATAATTTTTTTTTAAAGTTTAAGTCCTGAAACAGAAAGCAAAGAAATTTAATGATCTATATAATATAAACTTTGGTAGCACATATGGGATTTTTTATATTAATTCTTGTAAAAATTGCGCACTTTCTGAGTAAAGTAATCGATTTTTTGCCAAAAAATAAACAGTAAATTCTTTATAAAATATAAAGTTTACATTGTGATTATAAAATTTCTTTGTTTTTTGTTCTAGGACTTAAACTTTTCAAAAAAGTATTATGGCCGTAAAAAAATAGTCGATTTTGAACATAAAAATTTACCGCCGTCATTTTGTTATATAATGTAAACAAAAAGTTTTTTTTTTCATATTTCAATAAGTATTTAATAAACCTTTCAAAAAGAAATCCTATTCCATTTTTTATTTTCTCAAAACAATTCATCAAATATATAGGTCTCTTTTTCTGACTCTAGAGTGTGTTACCCTTTAAAAAAAGTAGCCAAATTTTTCATGTTTCATATTTTTGGCATTAAACAAAATAAAAAATAAAAAATTAATCTTTTAAAACATAAAAATAACTTTATCTAAAGTTTAAAAGCAAAAATTAACAATTATGACAAACATAAAATAAAACAAAATATGAACGCAGAATAAAAATGTTTTCTGGTTCAATAAATCATTTTTAAGTTACGTTAATATGTCAAAACGAAAGCCAATTTACTTGTAATTCATTATTTTTGACAAACAAAATCTAATCTGTAACTTTAAATATGATTTACTTCAGTCATTTCATAAAGTATGCACAATATTGAAACGAGGAGGAAAGTAACAACGTGTTACTTTCCTCCTTACTCTATTTTTCAACAAAAAAGTTAAAATTACAGAAAAGTATTACACGTAATTTAAAAATACACTGTTACAACTTAAAGGCAGAACTTACTTTTGACGTATTTTTGTAACGTCATATCACTAGCTGACCTAACCTAACCGGAAATGCTCTTGCACACTATGGAGAAGTTGTAGGGGGCACAACTGATTAAAAAAAAATTTTAACTTTGTATATCGGCTAATTTGTTTAAAAGCTGTAAGCGTTAATTACTCCCTAATTAATTAGTTATTAATTACTTGATAGTTTCTAATAAATTTGTCATTGAGTACTTGTAAATTGCTAGGAAATTGTTAATTATTTTAATTAATTAATTTAATTATACACCTCTAGGAGGAAAAAAATACCCCCACTGGGAATGTATAATGCTTTTTTATTTTTATTTAAAACATAATTGTTTTTTAAATTACTATTTAAATTTTGATTTTTTCTATCTGAATAATTTTATTTCTAGGAAGGGGAAAAAAGAAAAAGGGCTATGGAAAAATGTTCATGATGATGGCAGGTGTCGCAAAAGCAACCTTACTTTATGCAATGGTACATGTCGTTGGGGCCTTGGCTACTAAAGCTCTGATTGTGGCAAAAGTAGCTTTAGCCATTGCGACAGCTATCGCTTTGAAGAAAGCTCTAGGTAAGAATAATAATTAATTTACAAGACAGTTGAAAAAAAAACTACTAGTAATTAAAATTGCAATTAAATAGGTATATTTAATTATTTTACCAAAATTAAAATTTACTATTTTCAATTCTCATAATGTGAATTAATTTGTTAGTTTTACTTTTACATGGAATTTCCATGTAAAAGTTAAACTAACTTTTTCTAAAAGGAATAGCGATAAATTCTGAAAAGAAATGAAATCTAAATCTAATTTTTACCTTTTCTAATTTATACAGAGTAGATATAGAAATTTCCATTTTTTTAAGAACAAAATTATATATTAGAACTAAAATAAATAACAATGTCAAATATAAAATTTTTTTTTACTATTATCGTAAAATTATTATTTTTTCTATAAATAACACATTATAAACGTGTATCAAGTGTCCTCGTTCCGCTTGAAACCCCTTTTTAAACTGTACTCGGCTACCCGCTGTGATTTTAACAAGATTACTTTTCACATACATGAATTTGTCCGCAATTTAATTTCAAATATAATTTCTAGTGACCGAATTGTATTTTATATTCTCTCTGTATATTTATTTTTAACAAAAATTAAATAAATAAAACTTTTTAAAGTAACTGTGTGAGAAAATTAGACTCTAACGGAAATTTACTTTAATACTTAAAAGAAAGGAATTTTTGATTTTCAATTAAATATATCACTTTTTTTCATTAAAATTTAAAAAAAAATTTGTGGAATTAACTCCAAATTATTTTTAATGATGATAATAATTATAATATTAATAATAATACTAATAATAATAGAAATAATAGTAATAATATTAATAATAATAATAATAATAATAATATTAAAAATAATAATAATCAAAATTAGATAACGACAGAAAAATAACACAAATTTATAATGATTATAAAATAAATATATAAAAGTATAAATAATATATAATTTTACAGAACATCCAGAAAAAACATCTTATGAGATAATAAAGCATCCACATCATTCGTATATTAATACACACAGTACGAGTGTCGATTATGATCATCATGGAAGTCCCGACGACACCGGTGGATATCGAAGAAGAAAAAGAAGGATTCGATAAATTTAATGATAAAAAGAATTTTTTGTAACATTTAAAAAAAATCCTCAACAAAACCAGTACAAAATCTTTTCTATAAAAAAATATATCTTTCACACGGAAAAACCTTTAAGCAGTCTGCTCACCCGAAACTTATGCGTCAGCGCCACCACTAAACTTGTTCATCTGCACTCCCAAACTGGGTGACCAACGTACCCAGTTGTAATTTTCTAAACTTTTTGGGAAGTTTGTCTATCGAAAACGGTAATGCTACGCACCCAGTGGCGGGCGATCAGACTTTCCATGCAGTGAGAAGCGAAATTTTGTGACAGTGGGAAGGCAGACTTCTCAAAGGTTTTTCCGTGCAGGTTAAAAAATTATCTAAAAATCACAAATCAAATAATACAGCAAAACTGCCTCAATATTTTGCAAGTTTCACAAAATTGCAAATTGAAACATTGAAACAATATTTCTATAAAAAAAGAAAATCATTTTATTTAATTTATCGTGTATTGCAAGAGTTTATAATTATTTTTTATTTTATTTACTATTTATTAATTTCATTAGTTATATTATTTATTCAAATTTATTTGTAAAGAAAGTACCTACATATTTTTTTATATTCACTTTATGCATTTGTATATATATCATATACTATAAAGTTAAATACAAATTATTACAAAACAAAAACATTCATATGATAATAAAATATTTACAGTTTAATGACAAATATGTGGAACGCTCGTCGTTTAAAAAAAAAGAAAAAAAATTATAATAATGAGATAACTTTCCTCGCAGAAATAAAATTATACTGACTATAAATAAAAGGAGTGGAATACAAGTTTTCTCGAATGAAATATATACTGTGTACTTTTAATGTCTTAGGTAGATCTTCGTCGTAAATATTGCGCTTCCTTTAGTACAACCAAACCTGGAATATCTTTAAATCTTCCTACGATTTACTCTGCATTAAGCTTGCTCTTTTCCTACTATATTGTATACTTGAGGGTCAATCTCATTACGGGAAAAACGGAGCTGAACTCAGCGCATAATGACTGAATCGAGATAAAAGATTATTTGTTTATATGGTACAAAAGCATTTATAATAATTTGAAGAAACAGGAAATATTGCGACCCCTTTGGCTTTCTTTATTTTTAATGTCAGAGCAAAACAATATTCTTTTTTATTTGTCTAATTTTATATGTCATTTTTTTTCTTTATATAAAAAGACGAGTAAAAATATTTTACATGGCATTAAAAAGTGAAATTTTTCCCTTATAAAGAATTTCCCTTTTTTTCTTTAAAAGAAAAAATAATTTTTTAAATGAAAGTCAGGATAAGAGCTAGAAATACTAAAGTAAAACGATGTAAATAATTATTTATTTATAAATAATTATAGTTATTATTCTTATATTTTAAGAGAATTCCTATTTTTAATCGCAATTCCTAAAAGTTGTTCGGATTTTTCATTCTTTTTTTTATTGTTGAAAACCCTGTAGGCACGGAAACGTCTTTGTTCTAGAAACGTTTCTAAAACGTTTTTTATGTTCTAAAAACGTTTTTAGAACAAATGGCATTCAGCTGAAGGAAAAAGACATAATTTTTTTAGAGCATGGAGAGAAGTGAAATTGATTATTATTAATTGATTATTACCTTTTGCAAAGGAACATTCTCTAATTTCTGCTTCATCGAAAAATGGAGACAATAACTTTCCATCCAAAGGTACTCCAAATCTAATAAAAAAAAACAAAAATCATATCAAAAAGACAAAATATAAATATATATATGGGTTATTCTTGAGAAATAGGGCATTTTTACTTCCCCACCTTGTAACATCAAAATTATTACTTAAAAAATTATGTAATTATGTAGAGTTATTCTTCAATCTTATGTATCAATATCGAAAGTAAAATATATAGGGTCAGAATTTCTCAAACGGATCACTTTAAAAAAAATAATTTTGTTTTTCATCTAAAATAATTTTTTTTTATTCCTCGTAGAGTAAAAAAAGACCCTGTTTAGAACAAAAAATTTTTTTTTGTTAATGTTATTAACAATTTAGTTTTTTTGTAGTCTTGAATAAAAAAATGTTTTTCTCAAAATCCAGTTGACCGATTTTAAAATACCAAAATGGGTTTTCTTCGTCATGAAATCAAGTATTTAAAAATAATTTTTATTTAAAAAAAAATTAATTTTTAATAGTTTTTTATATAATTTGTTTATAAAATGTTAATAACAAATTATGTTCTGAGCCTTCTAGAAAAAAAGGAAAATTTTTTTGTATTGTCAACATTCCCCTGATTAAAAAACCGTTTCGAAAAAAATGTAGGGGAGAGTGGGGCAAGACGGGGTACTTAAGGTTTAAAGCGCAAAAAAACGAAAATTATCGAATATATACTTTATTATTATTTTTAATTATCATCTTTATGAATCAGTCTTTCGTAAAAAGGCGTACAAAGGCCATCTGTTTCTTAAAAAAGCTTATAATTAATAATATTGAAAAAATTGCAAATCTCCCTATCTTGCCCCACCGGCGGGTAAGATGGGGTACTAAAAAAAACAACCTATTTCTGTCGACGAATTTTACAAGTAAAGGTTGCATCTTCATCTTCGTCATCGACACCAGCACAACTGCACAAAGCCCATTTGCCGCAGACAGAACAAGCAGCCCAGCCTTCATTTGAGTCTAAATAATAACCATTACAATAGAGACAAGGTGTATTTTCCACTTTAGGTACCATCGCTAATTGATGATTTAACTTGACAAACTTTTTTCTTTTTGGCCACTCTTATTTTATTCAGTCTTGATTTAAGTAGTTTTCTTAACTTTTCATATTTCTCTTTTCTTTTGCTTAATTTGTGTACCCCGTCTTGCCCCACTCTCCCCTACCCCATCTTACCCCCACCTACGAAATTGAAGAAAAACGTTAATTACTACAATTTACGATTCAATAAAGAAAAAAAACATATGCTTCCCTTTTTCTGTAACCCTTGCCAGTTAGAAAAAAATTTATACAGTTCATTAACTGTTATTGTTAAATAATAAACACCTTCTAAGAACAGTGAAAAAATGACAAGAAAATCGTCGAAAACAGTTTTTTTTAGTAAAACAGATAAACAATTTGTTCTCATGGCTTTTAGGTTTTATAAACAAGAAACTATAGTCTCGGTGCAGTATTATGTAAAGTATAATCGCGATTGGTTAATTTGTTTGTTAAAAAGGGCCGGTACCTCGTCTTGACCCACTCTCCCCTATTTTAGTAATAATTACGTGTTTTTTTCGTTTAAAACAAAATAATCGTGAATTATAAAGTTTATTAAATCAAAATCGCAAGTTGTGAAAAAAGATAATTTTTATCCATTTTAAACCTATTTTCCTATGAAAATTTATTATAAAAATTGTTGATAATATTTTTAATTGCTAAATAACGTTAAATGAAGATAAGCAAGCATGATAGAGAATAAATAAATTTTTCCTACAATTGTACTTCAAAGTTTGCAAATTGTTTATAAAAATTGTTTATAATATTGTTAAAAATTGTAGAATTAACATTAATTTTTGTAACATTGTTATAGTATTATGTAGAATTATTTGAGTTAAAAAAATCAATTCAACATACACGGAAAAACCTTTAAGCAGTCTGCTCACCCGAAACTTATGCGTCAGCGCCACCACTAAACTTGTTCATCTGCACTCCCAAACTGGGTGACCAACGTACCCAGTTGTAATTTTCTAAACTTTTTGGGAAGTTTGTCTATCGAAAACGGTAATGCTACGCACCCAGTGGCGGGCGATCAGACTTTCCATGCAGTGAGAAGCGAAATTTTGTGACAGTGGGAAGGCAGACTTCTCAAAGGTTTTTCCGTGTATTCTATATAATTTTTACAAATTTAAAATATTTTGGCGGACATTTTAAATTTTGAAAACAATTTTATTCTTTATTATGCCTATCTGATAGGGCTTTTTAGTTTAAACAATTTTACCTGTTTATCGTTAAGTCAAAATTGAAATTTTCTCATAGATTCTGAAAGAGGAAACTCAAAAGCAAAAAAAGCAGAAGACTGTTTTTTTTAAAGCCCACTCTCTAAATCTGAATTAGTAGAATTCTACTAAGCAATAGTAAAATTTTACTAATTTTTAGTAGTTTTTATGGAAGACTTTTTCTCCTTTTCAATTAGTAGAATATTACTAAGAATAAGAAAGAAAAACGAAGACATTCGGACAAAGATTCGTTTAATGTTACTGCAACGTTTCGAAATCCACAGATTTCCTCTTGAGGGAGTCAATTTAGCAACAGTCAAAACTTAAATTTGTCATAAATAAATTAAAATGCGTCAGAAAATAAAAATATTACACCCATATATTGGAGCCATACAGAATCAAAAAATAATTAATAATCTATTTAGTAAAATAATAAAAAATAAGACACATTTAATAAATAATAAATAAGGACAATAAACAAAATAAATAAAATAAAATATAGGAATATTACTAATTTTTATTAAAATTTTACTAATGTTTTAGTAGAATTCCACTAATTGAAAGTCACTTTTTTACTAAATGAATTAGTGAAACTGTTTTATGGACTATTAATAAATCAGTTCTACCAATTGCTAGTAGAATTCTACTAAGAAATTATTAAAATCTACTAACAATTAGTAAAATTCCACTATTTGTTAGTAAAATTATTACTAAATCAATGGTGGAAGAATTTTCGTAATTTGATTAGTAACTTTCTACTAATTGAGATTTAGAGAGCAACTCATAAAACGGAAAACTCGAACTTGAATAAAAAAACGGACATTTAGGACGCATTAAAATAAAATTTAACACAATTGTATGGAGATTAATTTCAAACATAGTAAATATTTACATAAAAGAAATGAATATATTTATAAAATTTCTTTCTGTTTTGTATAAATTTATAGAACTAACTAAAATAAGTAGAAAGTAACAATTTTGGAATTGTAGCCGATGAATCAACCACCACTTAATCTTAATTCTAGAAATTTCTCAATATCAACAGTTATCAATACATATTACAATCATTCAATACATTAAATTCAATCAATTTTTTTCCTTTCATTAACAAATTTCAATTCCAATTCATTATTGATTCATTATGAAATTGATTTCGAAAAGATATTGTTCGGAAATTATAAACATATATAACAAGTAAAAAAAATTGTCTAATATAAATAGCTAACGATTAAAAATCTAAACTACCGTAAATCCAATTCGTCTACTGTTTATTACTAAATAAATAAATAAATAAATAAATAATTTTGGTTGTACATTTTTACTTATAATTTAAAGATGAGAGTCTTTGAAGGCAAGTTAACATGAACAATAATAGTGAAGACAAATATTATTCACATTTCTTGAAAAAATGGCGGTTAATTGCATCAATTTAAATAAACTAGAAGTTTGAAGGAAAAGTAGTTGAAATTTATCTAGAAATAATTTCAAGAGTGTGTTATTGCTTCAAGGGCGCGTTGCCATCCGCCGCCTCCACCGTAACCACCACCGCCACCTCCACCACCTCCGTGATGTTCGGAAGCTGTGGCATAAATGACTTCGTGTCCACCACCACCGCTCGAGACAAGTTTCTTCAGTCCAATGATGGCGCTTAATACGAGAGCAATTTTAGCGGTTAATAATGCAGTACCAGCGAGGAATGCAATTTTCCCGAATGCCAACTGTGCCAGTACACCTGTAAAGAAAATAGAATATAAAAGAAACAATTGTGTCGGCTGTATAATTTTAAATTCTCCAAATAGAAAGTGTACAGAAAACAAAGGTGAGATAAAACTGGGTTACTGTATCAGTGTAACAATATATAACCGTGAAATTGTTCCATTATTCATTAGATAATTTCACGCTGATTACTTAATCTTTGGTTGACGATTGTATATAATTATACATTGCCAATGCTGTTTATTAAGTTATTAATGTTGTTCATTGAGTTAATTAATTTGTTTCATTAATTTGTTTTTTTTATTTCTATAATTTTTGTAATTATTCACAACAAAAAGTAAAACCTGATGATTTGATAAACTCCTTTTTTTGGAGAAAATGATAAATTTCTTCTCGTCTTTTATTACAATTTAACTTTACTTTCTAATATTATCTCTCGAATTTTACACTGCAATCATTGTATTCTACTTATATTTTTCTATTACAAGTTCAATTATTATTTCAAACATTATTTATTTGGCTTTTTATGTATTTAGAAACGACTTTAAGTAGATGAACTTTTATTTCTAATTACTTTTAGAGACTCTTTTCTTTAATTTACTTTCTCTTTGAATTTATAAGTTTAAAACATCTTTCAGATTTTTTTCCTAATTTACATTTTCAATGTAAATCTTTAATTTAAAATTTGAGCTTTATTTCTGAATTTTGAACATAAAAGTAAATTTTTAGTTACAATTTGAGCTTCTTTTCAGAATTAACGTTTTGAAATTCTAAATTAAAATTATACACAATATTCGAATTTTTGTTAATAATTGAAATTTATTTATTAATTGAAAATTTATCCTTTAAATCCAAGTGATCGTTATCTTCACGTTTTATAATAAAAATAAAAATTTATTTAATAATTAAAATTGTATCACGAAATTAAAATTATATTCAATAATTGACCATCTAATTCATCAAAATTTCTTTCAATAAAGAAAATTTTTATTTATTTTAATTGTATTTAAAAATTAAATTTTACTCAATATATAAAGTTGAATTATGCAATTGAAATTACAATTAATAAGCAGAATTGTAATAATCAATTCAAATGGAGCAAACCGTATGAAAATCTTTTTTATTATTTGAAAATGTTTCCTATATTGCAAGTTGCATAAAAATTGAAATTCCACCCACCAATTAAAATCGTTCTTAATAGTTAAAATTCTACTTGATAAATAAAATAGTTTTTTGTAGGTAATTGAAATTTTGTTCAACAAACGACAATCTAATCAATTGAATTTAAATTTAACAATAAAATTAGATCTGCAATTCTATACAATTAAAATTATTATTCTGAATAATTACAATTGTACTAAAATTTTTATTAATAAAATTGTATTAAAAAAATTAAAATTGCATTCAATTATTAAAATTCTAATTAATTAAAATTGCTTTTAATAATGGAAATTCTGTTCATTATTTTAAATTTTACTCAAAAATTGCAATTATTTACTGGAATTTAAATTCTAAACAATAATTGACATTGAACTCAAGAATTGAAATTATTTTTTAGAACTGAAATTTATAATAACTCAACAATTAAAAATTGTTCTTAACAATTAATATTGTTTTCTCAAATTTAAATATTACTCAATAACAGAAATTTATCTAAATAATTAAATTCAATATGCATTAATAAAAATTGTCTACTAAAATACTCAGTAATATTTGAAATTATACTCAATAATTGAAATTGTACCTTAGAATTAAAATTCTTATTAATAATTTAAATTAATATTAATTTAAATAATATTTTTAGTACCTAATTGAAATTATACTCAATAATTGAAGTTATACTCAGTAATTGATATTATAATTAATAACTGAAATTATACTTTAGAATTAAAATTCTTTTCGATAATTAAAATTATACTCAATAATTGAAAATTATACATTAGAATTAAAATTCCCTTTAATAGTTGAAATTATACTCATAATTAAAGTTCGATTTGATTGAAAAAATTCACAGTAATTGAAATTATATTCAATAATTGAAATCATACACTGCACTGGATTCTAAATTCTTATTAATAATTGAAATTACACTTAGTAATTGAAAGTGCACCTTAGAATTAAAAAACTTCTTAATAATTGAAATCATGTCCAGTAAATAAAAAACAACTTAATTAAAAAAATACTCAGTAATTGAAATTATACTCAATAATTGAAATCGTGTACTGAATTCTAAATTCTTATTAATAATTGAACTTATACTTTATAATTGAAATTTTATGTTAGAATTAAAATTCTTCTTAATAATTGAAATCAGGTTCTATAATTGAAAATCAACTTAATTAAAAAAATAATCGGTAAGTGAAATTAAACTCAATAATTAAAATTGTACTTGAGATTTGAAATTATTTTTAATTTTAATAATTGAAAATAAACCGTAATACTTTTAATTGCACATACACAATTATTAAAAAAAAACCTCAACAATTATAAATTCACTGAGTTAATTAACGCAAACTTGACCAAATTACGTATATGCGTTAAATTATATTACACATACATGCTATTTTATGTTTATCAACAAAAAGCTTCTTCACTAAACACGTGTTACACTCACCTGCCATAGCAAGTCCTCCCATCATCAAGGCAGCTCCATATCCCTTCCCCTTCTTTTTCCCACGCCCTGTAAATAGCAAAAATTAAAAAAAATCCCGATTAGAAAACAATCCATCGTGATTAGAACAATTCCCATAGTAAAACCATCATCATTACATTATAGTTTGAACAACAACAAAAAATAAAAATTAAATTTTTAAATCATAGAACAAAAGGATTCTCTTTTATCTAAATCTTATCATCTCAAATAAACGACCTCATGATCGTGAACAAAAGTATCCATACCTTCGAAGGTATTGCCAGGAATCGTGAGTCGTACACTTCTCGACGAAAGATAATCATGGAATTTCTGATCAAGCTCCTGATCAATACTCCTTTCGGTTGTATTATTATCCGTACCCTCGTCACTACTTGGATTACTATTACTATTAATACTAGTGCTACTACTGCTACTACTACCCTTTACATTTGAATCTTTTGCTATCGAGATATAATCATTGATCACGTAAACAGTATCGTCCTTGATCGCTGAGTCAAGGACCTCAAGGGCCCTTCTCTTAAAGCAATCGAACGGATTCTTCTCGATTGTACACTTTTCGAAAAATTTCCCATAGTCGCTTCGACCTTGAGAAAGGTCAGCAAGGACTAGAAGGTTAAAGCCAATAAGGCAAATTACACGTAATCTCGTCATCGGCCACTCTCTCAAGGTCCACTGATTTTTATTCTTCTTTTTTGTATTTCCAAAAAAACAGAAAAATCCGATTACACTGATTATTTTTTCGAGTTTCTTATCACTTTTTTTGTTTGATTAGAAAGGAAAGGGAAAAAACTCTATTCTACTCTATTCCATTCGAACTGCTGTCGACTAATCAAACTAGACTCGTGCAACTCTGTTCTTATATAGTTGATAGGTATGAGCGAGTACGTTTAAGTATCTCCTTCCATATCGACTCGGCATATCCTGCAGACACGTTGTATATACGTATAGTCGCGCCTTAATACACGCGCTGTTTAACGCCCTCGACACGAAAAAATAAAAACACAAACAAGAATCTACAAAGACGGCCTTCTCAACCAAAACAATAGCGTGTTAGCCCGGTAAGTAAGTATCCCTCGACCCTCATGCCAAACGGGCCTTAAAAAGCTTTTGCGGAAGAAACCCTGCGATATATGATGATGCACTCTTGGCAAATATGCGGAAAATAGTTGCGGCATTATTTCATTTATCATTTTTTTCGTATATATATATAAAGTGAGTCAAGTGAGTCTTGTTTGCATTCTTATTTGAATGTGAATATTGTTTTTGTTCAGCTCTAACAAGGTGTATCGATTATGAAAGAGTGCGCGCACATTATGCCGTTGATGTTACGATATGGTTTTGATTTTCATCGGCGTTCGTCAACCCTTGAAACAAAATTGACTTGATAGAAATCCCACTTGATATAAAGCTCGTTTTTTTATAGGAACCATTTGAAAAATGATTTACTTACCACAAATTTTAAACTCGAAATAAAATTCAGTTGATATTAAAACCACTTGATATCGAAATTCTTTAATACACTGTAAATAAAAGGTTCTAAATTAGAGCTGATTTTCGGTATTAAAATAGAACCAAATGACGATTTAGTACCCAAAATTGGTACTAAATTAGTACTTTTCTTTTTACAGTGTATACACTGTAAAAAAAGGGAGTTAAATTTTAACTCCCCAGGGGATTCTATAAAAGTCGCACCCATTGGGGAGTTAATGCCAGGGGAGTTAAATATAGAGAGTTAAAACTTCACACCCAAATGCTAACTCCCTAAGGAAAAAATAACTCGCGCGGGTGTTGAATGAAGGGAGTTAGAAATTAACTCTCTTTTGGAGTTAATTTTTAACTCGAAAAATTTCACTCCCAACTCCCGAGTCCGTTAACTCCCTAAATTTTTTACAGTGTAATTATTAATAATTTTACTTTAATTTTACATAAATTAGCTTTAACAATAACCAGTATCAGAAGTAATACCAGAATAATTAATATGAATACTTTATTGGTTCCAATTAATTAATGGTACAGGCAGTAGTAGTAGTTAAACTTCTCAAATAAAATCTGTACTCTTATCAATGAGTTATCTTGCACAATTAGTTATCTGATATCAATATACTATCTGGTACAAATGCTAATTCTGCCGTGTGATATAAAAACTTAGTTAACTGACATTTTGGTGAAAAATGAGTTTTTGGTATCAATGAACTTGTAAGAAAAAACTGCGTCTAACAGTTATAGTTTAAATTTTTTTTGCAAATTATTGTTTGTAAAAAATTAATATTAAAAATCTAAGAAATTACAGAAAGTGAAAGAATATTTGATAAAAAGTTAAGGAAAGTACTTTGCGTAGTCCAAAAAACAAACGAGGCTTCGAGCTCGCATGTAAGATTTGAAGGAAAAACTTAGTTAAAGGCATTTGTGTGTTTTTTGTATCAAATAAGTAGTCGAGTCCGAGCGTTGGATTTGAAATAAAAACTTTGCATCTGCAACGCTTGCAATTACCTAAGTTCTTCCATCAAAAAGTCAGTCGAGACAGAGCCGAACGACTACTTAACTGCATTCGGCTAAACTCGGTTTATCCTCGGGTCGCAAGCAGCAAGCAGCCGTCCCCTTACCACATGACGTCACTGTCAGTTAGGTAAGTTTTTCCATCAAATCGGAGGACCGAGCTCGCGTACCTTTTTGTTGAGCAACTACGCAAAGGACTTTACCTAACTGTTTACTTCATATTTGCATTCGGAAAAACACGCAAGTGCATTTTTTCATATAATTTGTTTAAATAATTAATTTTTTATTTCATAATTAAATAGAGCACCATCATTATACCCAGTATGTGAAGTTAAATTGAACAATTTTTTAATTTTTATTAGGGTTCTGAAAGCAAACAGTTTTTCCTTATTTTCTCGTTTCGATATAAATGTCAGTTAACTAAGTTTTTATTTCAAACGGCAGAATTGGTGCCGGAGAAATTACTGCGGTTTATAAATTCCAGGTACCATTTAATTACCTGATAACAGCAATAATGCAAGATTAAGTAAATAACTGGTACCAGCTTCTTTTTCTATCAACAGAAATGCTGGCACCAGCAATAATTAAGGTTTAAATAAATAACTGGTACCTATTAATGAGCTGGTACCAGCAATAGTACAAGTTTAAATAAATAATTGGTACCAATTAATCAAATGCTATCAGCATTTGTAAAGATTTAGGTCAATAATTGGTACCAGTTTCTTTTTATATTAACAGAAATGCTGGTCTCAATTAATTAGCTGGTACCATCAATAGTACAAGTTTAAATAAATAATTGATACCAATTAATCAAATGGTACCAAATACATTAGTGCAGATTTAAATCAATAACTGGTACCACTTTATTGGTTTACAACAACATTAGTAGAGGAAAGGCTTGCAGGTTGACATACCTAAGCTTTTTCGCTCATAACTCATTAAAAATAATAATAATAATTTATATGAACATACCATCGGAAAGAGCACCTAAAAAGCTACAAATTTGACCCATAGATAATTTAAATTGTCAAAAAATAAAATTTTTACATCAAATTTTTAAAATGTTGTAAAACCAACGTTTCAAAATTTAGGCTTGCAGGTTGACCCACCTTGAAAAATTGATAATAATATGGAAGAACTCCAAGAAATTTATTAAATTTCACTTACATTTAATGTTTCTGAATATAATAATTTAAATTTAAATTTTTTAAACAATTTATTTATAAATAAAAAATTTTTTAAATAAAAAATAAGTGAAGTGAGTCAACCTGCAACTTTGAACTCTATTTTTAAATCGATGAAAAAAAATATAAAATTCATGAAATTTTAAAAATTTCTTTTGGATTATCAAAATTGATTAAAAACCAACTCAGAAAAAAATTGTATCTCAAATTATCCATAAAAATATTTAATTTGTAAGCACATGAAAAAGTCACATTTTTAATTTTTCAATTTTTCCACAAGTCAATTTCAGAATTTGTTTAACAATAACATTTTTATTGCTTCTTTTTGCTCCAAAAGATCATAAAATGTAATAACTAATCATTTGGCAACAATATCAGTCGCGTTTTTAATTATGGCATTTCTACAATAAAAAATAACACAAGTGGGACAACCTGCAAGCCGGATAACTTACAAGCCTTTCCCCTACTAATAATAGTCATGTTACTGGATCCAAAAAACAACTGGTACCAAATTCTTTTTGTATGATAAAAAACTGTTGGCGAATAATTGATTGATACCAGTCGTACTAGTTAAATTTCCAAACTTAAATTACCTGGTATCAATTAATTATTATTTATCTGATGCCGGTATTAGTACTAATAGCAGAGGAATGTTTGCGACCAATAAATAAATGGTACCAATAAATTATCTAGTCGCAGCATAAGTATAAGTTTGAATAAATAACGAATACCATCTTCTCGATCTGGTATCATGAGAAATACTATGCAAATTAATTAGTTGATACCAGCATCAATATTGCTACTAGATAAATTAATGGTAACATACATCTGCTAATAATGTTGTAACAGTAATTCACAAACTAGTAATATTGATATCAGACAAATTACAGGTAACAAAAAGTCGAAAATTGGTAATTGGTACAAAAAATGTACCAATTAAGCAGCTAATTCTAATTTGATTTGAATATTTAAAAATTATGCAATCCGAAATAATTACCTGGTATCAGAAATAAAACTGGTACCACTAGAATATCTTCTACAAAAAGTAAACTGAAACCATTTAATTAACTGGTAACAGCTTATTTGCAGAATAATACTGGTACCATTTAATTATCTGGTAGCAGCAATATCACAGGTACCAGTAAAATTATTCGTTTCAATGAATAACTGGTACCAACTTCTTCTTATATCAAGAGAAGTATTGGTATCAATTGATAATTGATTTTGCAATTGATTTGCATAATTAATGGTAAATTTGCACTCACTTGACGTAAAACTCTTTTGAAATTTAACTCATTTGAGGTAAAACGTATCCGAAATTTTTTATATTGTCAGTGCAAATTTTTTTCTAGAACTGTACAATTTTCTTCTAACAAATGCAAATTATCTCAAGTAAACTTTACATCAAGTGAAATTTATGTCAAATGAGTTTTTATTTCAAGTGGAATTTATCGTAAGTGAAATTTCCAAAAGAAATTTAATGGAAAATATTTTATAATACAATGTGAAAAAGTAAAGCAATTTTTTGTCTTAAACTTAGTTGAACAGTTCAATAATAAAGAGATATATAAGTGCAATAAAGAAAAGTGTAGTAAATGGACTATAATTTTTAAGACAATGGAACATCCCTAATGTCGCTTTTTATGATTGAAAGTATACTTATTGTAATTTGGTATTTCTCTTATTTCACGCAAGCGTCACGAAACTGTGGATGTGCGAGTAATACATCTGGAATGTTGCACTTGTTATTTGTGTTAAAAACCACAATTAGGAATTTAAGTACGTTGCCGGGAAAAGTAGGATAAGTGAGGATAATTTTGTCTAGTAGAAAAAACTGGATCGGATATTGTACTTAAAAATCATCGCAAATGCAAATTTTGTTACGATATTTTTATGAATATTTATTTTATTAAACATGAATTAATATTTGAAAATTGTACACTCTTATGTCTTTATTTGTGGTTTTATTTAACGTTATTCAAATTTAAAAGTTACTTTACGGGATTCATTCGTTTTCAGTAAAAAAGAAACTTTATTGTCAGACGTTGAGTAGGTAATGAAATATGGTAATTTAGTGGATAAATAATAATAATCTTTACTTTTGAGTATGGTAATTTAATTTAATGTTTTCATTGTTATTTACAAATAAAACTGAATTGTGTGATTTTATTT